TTCCACGGATTCATGTTGGATACCCGATGACTCGGACCATGGCCTTTCGCCATTTTTCGCCCCCAAAAAGGCTTTGACATGGCAGGCTTGTTCGCTTCCAAGGATGGCGCCATCCAGCCTGCTGTCGGGTCCACCCCCTGTCGGACGGCGTGGGAGGAACCCCTTCGATCTCACCTGTGTGGAGAACTATCAGCAGATCCTTTGCTCTCCGTCGGCCTGGCGAGATCGGATATTTGGACGGCGTGGTTCAAAACCTGGAGCCCGACCATGTAGCGAACGACCTGGAAGAGGTAGGTACATATTCAGTTCTTGGACAGTGGACACTTACCAAGATCCCCGGTACCCAGCACAGCTACTTACCATGCGCCCGGATTGGCGCCCGTTGGTAGGTCAAGCAAGGTCTGGACCAGCCATATGGACTGGGGGAAGAGGAGCCACGGAAGCAGACGGTGGAAGTCTCCTTAAGGAGATGAGCCAGGACCCGCGAACGAGGGGTTTGGACCTGCGAATCTCATTGTCAAGATGTTTGGCCTGAGCCAGGACTATGTTGAACCCTTTCAAGCTGGGTGTCGCTTTAAACATGTGAGAAATCGGCAGTTGTGTAATGGTCCGCGGAGATATTATAGTCCAGAGTCCAAGTTGTATACTGCTCACAGGGCACCTGTGATGCAATCTTGTGAAGGGTCCTTGCACATGATTGTACAGGGTCATTGTATGCTACGCTACTACACTGTGAAGTAGCCAGACCATGTCTCCAGGCACTTTCTGCTTGAAGTAGCAACTACGTTCTTTGAACTTTGGGACTCAACCACCGCTTTGGGTCGTTTCTGAGATGAGATTCGTTTGGTTTTCTTCGGTGGTGGCGCCACGGGCTGGCCCCCATGACTTGTCTTATTTACTTCCACAGGATTTTTTTTGGGGGAAACCACGGCCGCAAAGAACGTTCCCCACGTAGCCGGAAAGAACATGAAAGAACACATCTCCAAATGAAGCAACTTGAAACACACGCACATCGCAACAAACAAACAGTTGCCAAACAGATCACCATATATACATACTATATATATATATATATAGTTATATATAACATAATATTTTATACAGGTACACTTCCTAAGTCAGAATGCACTGATTCCGCTTCCGGACACCGGCCCCGGTGGCCAGGTACGGGTGCAACGGCGTGCCCCGAGCACCGCGCGCTGTCGCGGTGCGCGCGGTGGAGTTCGCTGAGTCGCCCAAGGAGTTGGCGGGCTCGCCCGAGAGCGCTTGATGGGCGACGGAGGAGATGGGGGGGAAGCGGAATAGGTTCGTAACAAGTGCATCGCAAGATATGTGTATCGCTACTAGATAGTAACAAGTGCATTCATGGGTTACCACTTGTTACTAGCAGCGATGCACTTGTTACTACGAGCGGGCCGAGGGCCGCTGGATTGGGAAATGGGATGGGAGAGGGATAGCAGACAAGGGCCTTGGGGGGTAGAATCAAAGAACACGTACCCTACTAAAAAGGCAGAAGAGTGCCTCTGAATGTGTGAAATGGGTGAGATATACCAGAAATGAGGTCACAAACAGAGACTCCAAAGAGGTCACAAACAGAGACTCCAAAGAGGTCACGAACTTTTCAGGTCCTTGTAGTTACCCGTCTGGGACTGATGAGGGCCAGGGGTGCTTGAAAAGGGGGGGTGAATGGGGCGGTCAATATGCCAGCCCGATGGAGTGCTTTGGGTCTAAACGCTTGAAAAAGTCGCCAGCATCAGACAAAAGACTATGAGATGATTTCAACCCAGGAACGACCGTCGAATTTCGGGGTTTGATTCTTCCACAGTCGTGCTGATCCCCGACAGTTCGAGTCAGACGGGTCAGACGGGGCGGTTTTTCGGTGGGCAAACGGATTTTCCTGGTTTTGGCTGAAGGGTGAAGCATTGAGGTTCCTTAAAATGGGTGAATTCCCTTCGACGTATTTCAATCATGTCTCCGCTTTCGGGGAGCTGTGGTGGGAACCTGCCAGCTCGTTCCCTTGAAACGAAGGCCACACGAAACTACCACGAAACCGCACGGGCCGCATGGCCAGTACTTTTGCTCCGAGATGGGGAGCGAGACCCTGAATTTGGTTGATCGATGTTGAGGGTTGGGAGTTTGCAGCCACTCCCGAAAGAAGGATTCCGAGCCATTTGATGATGACCGAGGAACCATGGGTTTCTCAGCTCAATGTGTTCTTGGGTTTTACTACCCAAGTTGTGGGTGTCAATACAGACCCACTGGATGGAATTCTTCACGTTGTTCTTAGACTTGGGATGAGACTTGATCTCGACTTTGTTCCTTTGAGTCATGCAATCTGATGTATGATCTTTCGATTTCTTGCACTAAGTGCATGTCATTGTCACATGTCTTTGAGTGCCAACCCTTACGGACCGGCTCGAAGTCCCACGAAGGAGCCAGCGAAGTGGGGTGAGGCCCAAGAGGTGCCCGAATTGTGGTGCCCGCGTGAGGGTGCTACAGAGCTACCCCTGTGAAGTTTGCAGAGTAGCCAGGAGGTCAGTGAAGCAGAATTCGGCGGTTGTAGGGAGGGCGCTCTCGAGGGGATCCAGTTCCCAAATTTCGCCGATGGGTTTGGGATGATACACTCGAAGAAGACTTGTCAAGTACTTCTTCCCTCGGACAGATGATGTGTGATGGCATTGGAAGCTTTGGTTCAACATGGTTCAACCATTTTCTTGGAGACGAAAACGCAAACACACACTTCGAACTTGGATTCTTCAGTTAATGCAAGTATCACGTTGG